TGCGCCATTTGCCCATGAGTCTGGTCTCTGGCGGACTTGATGTTGTTGCTGCTGGACGATTCCGAATGCTGTCATACATCAAGGCAGATGGCTCACTTTCAGTGGAGCGACAATTCGAGCATGAAATCTCGGCTATTCGTGTTGTGGCAGGCGGCGCGCTGCTGGCCCTCGCTCGCGGCATGTTCGGCATCACCGTTGTCAGGGCTGACACGCTGGAGGCTGTGCATCGAATTCAAGCGCCTGCTAACCGAATCATGGCAGCGACACCTTCTGGCCACCTCCTCGCTTGCTCCGACTTGCAGCAGCCGTTTGTGGCCGTTTACAGCTTGGAGCAGGTCGATGTGCATGCCAAGGCCTTGACTGATCGAGAGTATCAACAACAGTCACTGATTTCCGAGCCACATGTGGCAATGCTGGCTGCAGATGGCGCAAGCGGGGCGGGTGAGACTTTACCTGCATTTGCTGTTGGACGCGACGACCTTGGCTTTTACGACGCAGCGACGATGGCGCTTGTACACACTGTTGCGCTCAAGGAGCACCGGGCGAGTGCCCTGAACGTCAAAGCCGTCAGTTCCGACGGGCGGTTCATCATTGTTTGGTCCATGGCGCAGCCATTTATCGTTCTCGACGCTGTGCAACGCAAGATGTACAAGGACGTCATCACATTCCGCGAGATTAAGAATACTGTGGTACCCCCGAGGATGTTGTTCTCTCCAACAAACGACGCATTTGTTGTGGTGGACTGCATGAGCTCCATGCATGTTGTGGCCCTGCCCACATGCAAGTTGGTGTGTAGCCACTGCCCCAACGAGAAGGCGACGGCACACCCCAGCGCAAAGAGCTCCTGTGTGACGTGGCACCCACACTACCCTGAGGTTCGCCAGTTTGCCACGGGGTCTGATGACAAGACTGCATGCCTGTGGGAGCTGAAGGTCGACTCTGAAGGTGTCCTCACAGCGTGCGAGATGCTGAGAGCGTTTGGCGGGCACAAGGAGGCCGTGACGGCCGTGCAGCTGTGCACAACGACCAGCGATAATGGTGGCGATGATGCCGTTGTTCTTGCCACTTGTGACGGCAACACAATTGTCAAGTTGTGGAGATTGCAGCAAGAAGAGCACCCTTACGCGAGTATCAAGGTGCACAGCGGATATGCATCTTCTGTGTCGCTTGTGTGGTTGCCAAAGCAGCAGTTGCTGGCGTCTTGTGCGCAAGAACAGCATCTCCTGTTGTGGAACCTGGCCGGTGAGCTTGTGCGAGCAACCAACCTCAAGCCTGCGTGGGCATTTCTGCATCCGAGCTTGAAGTATGTTGTCGCTGAAGCTTATGGTGGCTTGCAGTTTCTCCACGCAGGCACGCTTGCACCTGTGTTTCGCGCATACGGGCATGACTTTGGTCTGGAAATCAATACGCGGAACAAACGTGTGCGAATGACGCCCGACGGGCGCTTCTTTGTTTCTTGGGCCATGGACGATGCCATCCTCGTGCATGACTTCTCGCATCTGACGTTGTGAGAGAGTTATGTGCGTGCGTGCGTGCGTGCGTGTGTGTGTGTGTGTGTGTGTGTGTGTGTGTGTGTGTGTGTGTGTGTGTGTGTGTGTGTGTGTGTGTGTGTGTGTGTGTGTGGAGGGGGGGGGGTGGAGTGGGGAGAGCTGGGGTGCCTGGTGCCCTTGTCAAATTGTTTCAAATTGTTACTCTCTCCACTTCGACTGGTTGGTCTGTTGAGAACTGAGAACACTAGAATATGGCGTTGGTTCCCTCCATTTGTGTGTGGGTGTGTGTGGGTGTGTGTGGGTGTGGGTGTGGGTGTGTGTGGGTGTGGGTGTGGGTGTGCAATGGCTTTCCCTTTGATAGAAGCCGTGCATCCATGAGTGGTTGTTGTGATGGAGGTGGCGTGACTGGCGAAAGGTGATGCAGTTGGTTGTACATACACGTTGGAGATGAACACGGGCAAAGCAAACAACACAAAAAAGGGGGCTGGAATGATGATGCTGGGTGACGCAACAACAAAACGGAGGGCAGAGCACAAGACATGAGCGCGCACACACGCATACACGCACAGATGCAGATGCAGATGCAACTGAAAGGGTGCAGGACGTGTTGTGCCAACAGTCATGTACAGCAGAAGAAGGGGAAAGGCACAGCAGGGTAATCGAATGATCCGTGGGCAGGAGTGAGGTGCCGTCAACAAGCGTTGAAATGTAGTTGCGATACGGCAAACAACATCGATACACTGGTCGATGACGAGCACAGACACGGCGTTGGCGGGAGGAATGCAGTGGACAAGGCCATCCACAGCAAGCAAGCACGCCTCCTGATGCTGGTCGTTGATGTTGCCGTTTGACGCAAGCAAGCCGCCAGCCCACTGCACTGCAATCGCTGCGTGTGGAGCTGGGTGGATGACAAGCGCCGTCGTCGTCGAGTGATCTGCTGGCTGGGACATTGTAGATGAGGTCGTTGCCTGCCTGTGAGGTCGCCTCCCGCACCACGAGTGCCAGCGAATGAATGTGCTTCGTGGGATGCAGGAGTGGATGAGGCCATTTCCAGCTGGCATGCTTCATCAGGCAGCTGTGTTGGTGGTCCTTGGATGAATCGAGGATAGTGGATAGAGTGTTGCAGTCGCCGATAAGGGCATTGTCCTTGCTTGCAACAAGGGATGATAGTCAGCGTCTAGATGAGGCCGTTTCTCGCTGGAACTGTGGTCGTTGCGCCGAACAGGGAGTGGGTGGAAGGGATCGATGATGGGCACAGATGCACGTCTCTGCGCACAGATCAAGTGATTGCTGTTGTTGGTGTTGTTGTAGGGCATTGCAACACCACCCATGCCACGTTGCCAATCCCTGTGGTTTGGGCACGTAGCTTGCTGCTTCAGCGTGTCACATGATGGTGCGCTGTGTCTATGAGGCGTCCTCGCCACTGGTTGATGGGCGCTCCTGCAGCATATGTGCTGCACTGGCACTGATGCAAGCATACCGTTCACGTCCATCATGCCCGTTGACTGACTTGAGCCCATCAGAGGGATGGATGGTGTTGATGTGTTGATGTGGAAGGGAAGGTGCCGACCTTCTTGTGTCAATCACAACTTTGATCCTCCCCAACAACCGCCACGCTTTCTCTTGCACAACACATGATCCTGCCACCACCATGGTGCACCTGTTTGTATCTGTGGCAAGAGCCATCAGTGCAGCAAACGAGGAAGAAGGCGAAGAAGAGCACAGATGGCGTCCACATTCATCCAAGCAAGCGGGCAACAGAGCGAGCAGGCAACAGAGCGAGCAAGCACTGGCTGGCTTGTTGCGGCAGTGTGGAGTGTGTGCGACAACACAAGAACTGCTGTGTACTGTGTTGTATTGTTTTGTCTTTTTGCTTTGTGCTGCAGGGCGGGAAAGTGCTTGCCAGAAACGCAAGGATTTTCCTTCTCTGTCAACACGGCAAGCAAAGAAGGAAGCAAACAGCGTAGTGCGTTCTGTTGATGTGAGCGCCACTTTTCGCCAACAAGAAGCAAAGGACAGAAAAAAGGACAGACAACAAACAAGCAAGCAAACACACTTGGATGGTTTGTGGATGCGATCACAAAGCAGGCCTTCCTCGCGTTCACGCAAGCCAGCAAGCAAGCAAGCACCTCGTCGTTGTGGTGCAACAATACAAGAGGGACACCTGCTGCGCGTGTATTATTGATTTGTTGCACAAGCAGTGGCAGCCACTCCACGATGCAGTGGGCAATGGAACCGTGCTCTTGGTGTCGCACACATGGCGGTTCAAGAAAACGACGCACGTGCTGGACGTGTTCAGCGTGCTGTTGCTTTGAGAGTTGGCACATGAAGAAGGAGCAGGCAGCGCAAGGTAACAGCAATGTGTGCGTAGAAAGACTGTGTGTTGCAAAACACTCTACTCACTCCACTGACTGCTCCCACCAACCACTGCCTTCGAATCCGATCTCACCACCTTTCCCCACCCCCCTGCTGCTACCATATCAGGAAGCGTCTGCCACAAGAACCGACCCCCTCCCGACTCCCATGCAAGCGCCTGCTCAACGCTCGACCTCCATGCGCACGCAATGTAAGCCGGCTGCAGTCACCTCCCTGTTCGTCACTTTTTTCCTCCTAAATCACACGCATGCAACACTCATGCACACGAACACAACCGCACACATGTGACAATGCCACCACCACCTGCAGTCATACAGCGTGGGCGACCGCAGGAGAGCAGACTGGGAATGAGCGTGGTTGAAGTGGGCGAGGAAGAGGACAAGGAGCTCGTGTACGGAGCAGAGGATATGGCAGAGAGGGTACATCCATCCACACCACACGCGACAGCGCCACCATAATGAACGCGGCACCACTCCTGCAACTACTATTTGGGAGCGGCATCAGGCCCATTCCCACCAGCATTGCCTGCGTCTGTACACGGGCCAGCAGTGACACCGTCTCTGACGCATGCCATGATGCCGACATTTGTCAACGACACCAATCATCACAAGCACATTGCCACCGCTGCAGCGGGATTGCAGAGCAGCCACCAAAATGTCAGGGTTGCCTGCAGCAACGATACAGCAACAGCAACAGCAACGACAGCAACGACGACAACAGCTGCGATGGCAGCAGAAGCAGCGGCAGCAGTAGGGCTTGTCCACCCTCCTTTCCGAACACGGTGCCGTTACCTCATGTCTGCGACGACTGCAGCGACAGCGCCACGGCCGTTCAGGGGCACCCTTTCTGTCGCCTACTCGCTTGACGGCATCACCATCGTCCTCATCGTCGTCTTCTTCACCACCGTCATCAACAACAACGACTGAAGCAGCAGCGGCGTCACCAGCGACAAACACTGTTGCACCACCAGTATCGCTCTCGGCATATGCAGCGCTTGCAGACAGAGAGTCCGGGGCGGAGAAGATTCACATGCTCGGCTGTCGGTAAGTAATACACGTACCAGTGTTGTGGTTGTGGAGTCCAGCGCATGCTCGATGACACGCGTCCTGTGTTCACTCACCCCTTTGTATTTGTGTGTGTGTGTGCGTGTGTGTGTGTGTGTGCGTGTGTGTGTGTGTGTGCGGGTGTGTATGTGTGCGTGCTTTTGTGTGTATGTGTGTGTGTGTGTGCACGCCTTAGACTGTGGCATCGAGGATTGGGCGGGCTTTTGAATCCAAGCGCGCTTCGGGGGCAGCAACGACGATGCTCGCAACCACTGACGGTTCGAAGTAGCAGACAGAAGGCTTTGCACTGCCCAGGTGTGTGTATGCACGTGTGTATGTGTATGCATGGGTGTGCGTGCATGTAGGTAGTTGTGTACATGAGTGCGTGTCTGTATGTATGTGTGTGGGAATCGCCGCGCATGTGTACGCATGCAGTTCGCCTTCTTTACTCTGTGACTCCCTCACTCCCTCACGTCCTCACGTCCTCTCCCGCGACGCACGCGCCTGCACTTGCATACAGCTACAGCGCATTCCATCCTGCGCCATACGACGGCACGGTGTACGTGGCAGACTCATCAACGCAGTCTTCCACCGGGGAACAGACAGAGGTATCTGGGGCACCAGCTGTGCAAGCTGTACAACGTCGAGGCAGAGCACGCCGTGCACCTCAGGGATGTGCCACAGCGACAAGACAGCGTGTCGTGTGGCCTGTTTGCGCTGGCTTACGCCACACTGCTGGCTGCTGGCCTGCATCCACTCGACTTGAACAGCGTCAGCATGACGGCACACCAGCTGCGCACGTGGTACTTGCAGTGCGTGGCTGATCGGGAGGCCGATGTTGCGGAGCTGCTGCTCATGAAGTTGTTACAAGAGGCACAACAACAACAACAACAACAACAACAACAACAACAACAACAACAACAACAACAACAACAACAACAACAACAACAACAACAACAACAACAATGACGACGACGACGACAACAACAACAACAACAACAACAACAACAACTCTGAGGCGCCACTCCACCAGCGACGCTGCCTACCTGTTCTGCAGAGGCAGCGGGCCCTCCACTTGCAGCCGACAAGAGAAGAGGATCGAATGGCCTTCTCTGCCACAAGCGGCGAGGTGGTTGTGGTGCATGACAGGAGCGATGGTGTGGAGGAGGAAGAGGAGGTGGTGGTGATCGGAGGTGCTGCGTTCGAAGAGGGTTTCGATGGCGGTGATGTGATCGACGTGGACGGACACAATTGTGATGATACGGGCGAGCCGCAGCAGCCACACTGGCCACAACAACAACAACAACAACAACAACAACAACAACAACAACAACAACAACAACAACAACAACAACAACAACAACAACAACAACAACAACAACAACAACAACAACAACAACACAACAACAACAACAACAACAGCAACAACAACAACAACAACAACAACAACAACAACAACAACAACAACAACAACAACAACAACAACAACAACAGCAACAACAACTGCAGCAGCCACACTTGCAACAGCAGTTGCAGTTGCTGCCACAAGTGCACCATACCGTCGCTCAGCATGTGTCGCTGAACAATCAATTTTTGCATCATCACAAGCAACTGCAGATACAGCAACAACACAACCACCAGCAGGTCCAGCAACAGCAGCACTCGGCATCGTGGCAGTTTGCACTGCACGATGCCCAAGGTGCCAAGAACAGACGCAGTCGGAGACAACGTCGCCAACAGCACAGGCGCCAGCAGCGGAGAGCACATCAACGTCGTCCGCATGCCCTTGAATGAGCAGTGTGGTCCCACCACTCCGGTCGCCGTGATGGAGACACACTCAGACGCACATACACACACGCACACACGCACACACGTATGCGCATAGACATTACCGTTGCCTCGACGACACAACAAGCTGTCCTCCCACCCTCTCGTCCACCACATCGCAAGGACCCAACCTCTGACATGTTCCTGCAGTATTGCTCTGTGTTTGCACCAGCTTTAGTTCTGTGGGCCTATCGTTCTTACTTTTGTGTGCTTGTGTGTCTGTGCGTGTGCGTGTGTGTGTCTGTGTCTGCGCGTGTCACATGTGCGACCGCTACTGCAGCTGCTGGACTGTCGTTCTGTGTCTTGTACCGTTGAAGATGAAGGCATGCCAAGTTGACGAGCAACCTTTGCTTGCGTGTACCCTGCAAATACAACGCCAACAAGGGCGCGATGTGCGCTCGCGTGCGCGTATGCCTTTTCTTTCTTCTTTTTTTTTTTTTTTCTGTGTTTTGTTTGCGCCATTGCACGAGTAAACAGCGAGAGGCAACAGGGAAAAGGTGTTGACATCGTGCACAGAAGCTTGTCCGAGCGATCTGCAAAATCTTGGGTGCTCTGATCAAGCGAATAGGTGTCTCTGTAGTGCAACGCGAAAATACACAGTAATAATGTTCAACCAAAAATGCCATGTGTATTCCACTGAGTTTAACAAGGCATTATGACAAGAACATGAACACACAAAATCACGTTTTGGGCTTTCCTGTTGGTTCTAGCACACCAAACAACGTCATCTTCTTTGTGCTCATGAACGTGACAAGCACCGCTGCTATGACCAACACCATGGAGAAAGCCCAGAATGGGGTGTACGCTGCGCACCACGCTTCATATGGGGTGGCAGACACACCTTCAAAGATCAGCCTGTCACACAGCATTGCCCCAGTCAAAATGAGTCAAACTGGCATCATTCGATAGCCCGCTCAACGGGCTATCGAATGCGTGCGTTTTCATACCGTGATCCTAAACACAACGGCATATATGAGGATAGTAAGACCCATCACCATCATAAGCAGTCTTCCGGACACCTCAATGCAATCAAGATAAAGCTGACGAAACTCGAGCTTTTGCGCGTGGTCACGAACCGGCAATGCTCACTTCGCAACCGTAGTTTAGCAATGGTCACCCGTAATATTTTTTTTAAAACCCAACTGGCAGGAAGTTCACATTCAAAAGGGAAAGCAGACACAAAAGGCAATGGCTCGATGTAAAACCAGGTGAACCGGGGAAACTCACAGAAACGCCCCAAGAAGGAAACCGCTGTCCCGCTCCTCGACGCTCACGAACGGTAAGCTTGTTTGTGAATTAAATGAAACACATTCGCAGAGTGGTGTTGGCTGCTCATTTTGTGAGTTGGCGAACACAGCGGCACGATGTCCACACCACACACGATTGGGCGAATGAGTGCACCGCAACTTCAGTCATGGCTTGAGGACCACGCTCTCAACACCGCCGAAGCCGGCAAATTGACTGATGTGTCTGGAGAGCAGCTCGTGAGCGTTGCACGAAGGGGCGAGACAGCGTTGCAATCGTCGTTTCAAGTTTCTGCAGTGTACGCTCAGTCATTGCTGGAAGCACTTCACCTGGGAGATAGCATCCATGGCGAGGACGCGACTCGTCATGCCTACAGTGAAGGAGATTGCCAAGATACACGAGAATTTCAACTCAAACAAGAAGTCCTGCAACAGTTTGACATTGTTGATGTTCAGCTTCCGGCCCGGTGGCGCCGTTGGCTGTTCAGCACATCAACACGACACAAACCAGTGACGCTACGAACGTCCCTGAAGGACACAGTGAAGAAGAACATCGTTCACATTGTGAAAGCCACCACAACGCCCAATCCGTACGTGTTTGCTTTGACAGCACTCGGGCTTTGTAAAGGCGGCTATGACCGGGTGCAGATTATGAAGAAAAACAAAGCGGCCGCGGAGGGCTTGGCCAAGCGAATCAAGCAAGTGGTCAAGTTTGGTGGCCCAATTCTTGTGTATTTTGAGAAGATTGAAGACGGGGAACGACTCATCGACGATGAAGCTGAAGAACTGCTGGAGGCTTCATTCTGTGCCTTTCGGCTCATTGGCGACTACAACAAGGATAGCAAGGCGAAAGCAATCCTCCACTTTTTGGGCTGTCACCAATTCAAGAAGGCCATTCATGAAGCCAAGCAGCGGTTGCTGGAGGCTGTCAGTTTCACTGCCATGGGTGCGATCTCCACGATGGTGAAAGAGCAAAGGACACCCGGATGGCTGAGCACACTTAGCAGCGTAGAGGCAGAGGATGCCGTGCAGTTTTGGATCAAGCACAACTTCCAGGAATCTGTTTCTGTCAGGAAGCTAGTGGATGCTATTGTCCTTTGGGTTCATGACGCTGACATGGGAGACAGTCACGGCAATGATGATGGCTGGCCAAACTCCGCAAAAGCAGTACGTGATGAGCAAGCGGTGTTCAGCTTCTTCAGTCGTCAGGACACAATCGAAACAACAACAATTCAGCGTTTTGCTCTGTTTGTCAAGGATTCGCCATCGATTGCGCACGCCGCAACAGCTGTCGTCGAGCGAATGGAGGATGCTAAACTCCGCAAAGCCCTGCGCAATGTGTTGGCGCCCGTGGACTTTGGTCGTGACCTCATCAAGCACCAGCGCGCGTTTGTGGAGGGCACGCGGCAGTGGGTGTTTGACGCCTTTGAGGAGTGGGCGATGTGCGAGGACGATAGGGTGGCGAAGAAAGCGAAACAGACTCGCCCACACAGCGACAAAGATAAAGGGCAGCGGCGCGTGTTCTGGGTGAAGGGGACAGGTGGACTTGGAAAGTCCGTCATCGCGGCACAGCTTATCAAGCGGTACGGCCAGGCAAGCACCAGCAAGCAGCCACTCATCGCCGCCCACTACTTCTGCAAGCACGACGCCACCAATCGCAACGACCCCCGCAAGGCGATCAACACCCTCGCCTTTCGGCTTGCGACGCAGCTGCCCGAGCTCAGGGAAGAGTACAAGGCTATTCTTCAAGGTGAAAACGAGGAGAGACGCAACAACTTTACGACACACGCGGATGGCAGTGAGGGCACCGTGGAAGATGCCTTCAACGTGGTACTCGCTGAGCCACTCAAGGCCGCGCTCGGCGAAGATTCAGGCGGCAAAGGCAGCGATGTCTTCATCCTGATTGACGCATTGGATGAGTTGCGTGCCGGCAACAGTCGCGCGCAGTTCCTGCGTCTGGTGGGCAAGCTGCTGCCATCACTGCCACCGTGTGTGCGAATTGTGGTGACGTCCCGCCCGGAGGAAGACATTCTGGCCTTGCTGAAGAACTTGAACCCATTCACCATCGACAAGCAGGATGAGCGGCAGCGCGAAGACCTGCAGTTGTGTGTGCGGAACATCATCATCAAGCAGAGCAGCCTGGGCAAGCTGAACCAGGACGAGCAAGAGGAGGTGGTGCAGATGGTCGTTGACCGGGCGGATGGCGTGTTTCTGGCGGTGCGGCTGATTGCTTGTGAAGTGGACAAAGCAGAGGGCAACACAAGGCATCCGCTCACTGTGGCCGATATACGACGACTGGTGGGCAAGGGCGGCAGCTTCATTGACGGCACGTACACGGAGACGCTCGACCGCATCCAGGCGCGAATCAAGGAGGCGGCGGGCGATGACGACGGTGTGCTGGCCGCGCTGCAAGGCACCCTGCATGACATGTTGGCGGTAATTGTGGCGTCGCTGCAGCCACTACGCGTGGACGATCTGCACGAGCTGTGCGGTGGTGGCCGGGTGCAGAGCAAGGCGCTGACGAAGCGGCTGCTGAGTGCGCTGTCGCTCCTCTTCTCCAGCAGCAGCAAGCATGACGTGGTTGAGCCCCTACACAAGACCGTCAACGACTTCCTCACTGACAAGCAGCGCGCTGGCCCTCACTTTGTGGACGAGCGTGAAGGCCACGCCATCCTTGCTCGCGCTTGCCTGCGCGTGTTGGAAGACAGAGGCCTGTTGTCACACGGCGACAAAGCAGCATCCTCAGCCGAGTTGGTGGAGGAGAAGGGTGCAGAGGAATCGGTGGTGGTGTATGCCATTGCATTTGGCCATCAACATCTTACGACGTGTGCAGAGGCAATGCAGGCGCAGGCGACATTTGAGATTGAAGGTTTGCAGCGTGCCTGTGAGGCGGCCCTTTGTTCATGGCAGGGAGCGTGGCTGCAGCCGCGCGGTAAAGCAGAGCTGACAAAGCAGGAGCTGGCGCTGGTGAAGGACGGGGCACTGCAGCAATCACAGCACGAGGCGACGAAGGCATTTGCACAGTGGCTGCTGCTGCAGACGTACACGCTTGGGCGCACGAAGCCGCTGGTGGCTGAACTTGCGGCTTTGGTGGCAGCAACAGATGAGATCAAAGACAGAGAGGCCCTCCACGCAATGCTCGACGACGTCAGGCGCATGTACGGCACACATTGGGCGTCGGAGGAAGACATTCGCACAGGAATTGCCCAATCATGTGCGAACCTGCCGCTGAGGAGCAGCTTGGCTGCTTCGCCTGCAATAGCCTTGCTGTGGACGGTTTCGTCACAACCACAACCACTGATGACCATCCCGCCGATACTGACGCAAGACCCGTGCCTGATGCAACTAAAGGGGCACACAGGCTATGTCACATCTGTTTCGTTCAGCGCTGATGGCAAGCGCCTCGTGTCTGGCAGCTGGGACAAGACGGTGCGCGTTTGGGATGCCTCCACGGGCCAGGAGCTTGCTCGGTGCATCGGGCACACAGATTGGGTCACCTCAGTGGTGTTTACACCTGATAACAAACACATCATGTCTGTCAGCGATGACAAGACAGTGCGCACTTGGGACAGTGATACAACCGATGAGTTGATATTGCGTCGCATGCAAACAGAAGAGTTGGGCCAAAGAGCAGCGGTGAGCGCTAATGGCAAGTATGTGAGAACCGGAATTTGGGCGGAGCGATTTCGGGCTGGCAACCACAATACACCAAACTCCAGTGCCACCTCAGCTTCAGTCAGCCCGGACGGTCAACGAATCGTGTCTGGGTGCGCTGACAACACGGTGCGTGTCTGGGATGCTCACACAGGACACAAGCTCGCTCAGTGGAACGGCCACACGGCTAGCATTAGCTCAGTAGCATTCAGTGATGATGGGAAACTCATCGCGTCTGGGAGCCAGGACATGACGGTTCGGATCTGGGACGCTGGCACGGGTAACTTGTTAGCTCAATGCGATGGTCACTTGGGTGATGTCAACTCCGTGACCTTCAGTGCGGATGGGACGCGGATCGCGTCTGGGAGTGACGACAAGACAGTGCGCATTTGGAACGCTAAAACTGGACAGGAGATGGCAACGTACATTGGGCACGCAGACAACGTCACCTCAGTGACGTTCAGCCCCGATGGCAAGCGTATCGTGTCTGGGAGCATCGACAGCACCGTGCGCATCTGGGACGCTGGGGTGCGCCAGACACTGGCACAGTGTCACGGGCACACGAATGATGTCTACTCCGTGGCGTTTAGCCCCGATGACAAGCGCATCGTGTCTGGGAGCCATGACAAGACCGTGCGTGTCTGGGATGCTGAAACAGGTCAGGAACTAGCACAGTGCAATGGACACACTAACAGCGTCACCTCAGTTTCGTTCAGCCCCACTGGCACGCGTATCGTGTCTGGGAGCAAGGACAAGACAGTACGCATCTGGAACACGGACACGGGCGAGGAGCTGGCTCGGTACAGCGGGCACACAGGGAAAGTCAGGTCGGTGGCGTTAAGTCGTGATGGCAAGCTGATCGTGTCTGGGAGCGGCACCCCTTCGGCGCTCTTTACGAGGGGTGAAGACTATTCTGTGCGCATCTGGGACGTGACTACGGGGCAGCAGCTCACCAAGTGCGACGGCCACACGGATGTTGTCACCTCGGTTGCTTTCGGTCCAGATGGACAACACATTGTGTCCGGTAGTCGCGACAACACTGTGTGCATCTGGGACGTGACTACGGGGCAGCAGCTCACCAAGTGCGACGGCCACACGGATGTTGTCACCTCGGTTGCTTTCGGTCCTGATGGACGACGCATTGTGTCCGGTAGTCGCGACAACACTGTGTGCATCTGGGACGTGACTACGGGGCAGCAGCTCACCAAGTGCGACGGCCACACGGATGTTGTCACCTCGGTTGCTTTCGGTCCTGATGGACGACGCATTGTGTCTGGTAGCCACGACAAGACTGTGCGAGTCTGGGACTCAAGTACCGGGGAAGATCTGTGTGTGTACAGAGGTCATACAAGCACGGTCAGGTCAGCAGTGTTCTCCACTCTTGGTACTTTCATCGTGTCCGGAGGTTATGACAACACCGTGCGCATCTGGAACACTGAGAGAATGCCGTGAAGTGATGTTGTGTCATTTCTGCAAAATGCATGTGCTGGACGTTCTCTGTGCTCCTTGTGAAGCTGAGTGAACTTCCGTCGCGTTTGTGTTTTCATTGTCACAGATTGTTGACTTTGCATGCGTGAAGAGGAAGCGGGGTTCAGGTTACAATGTGACCATCCACGATGCTGTGTGTGACACCCTCCTCCCTCGTTACAAGCTTCTGTCTCATTGTGCCAACTTCAGTATGAAAGTTCAATCAGACTGCAGCGCAGGTGGTTGTTGTGTGTCTTGTTTCGATGTGATGTGATGTGACAATCGCCTAACAAAGTTCTTCAAGTGACTGCCTTTCCTGCTGTCCAGCTTGGTCATGAACACTGGCGGCATGATGGTGCGGAATGTTCGATCAGGCGAACAAGGAAGCGAGGACCTTGGGTGCAAGCGATTGGTCGCATGAAGTGAAACCTCCCTGTCTCACTCCCAAGATGACACGAGTGTGAGCTTTCACGAGGGCGCAATGTTTGATCATCACATGCAGTATCCAGGCAAGCACGCTGCACTTGCAGATACCACGCAACAAGAACAGCGAGGTTGCATTGCACTCAGTCGAAGAGTACAATTTGAAGACTTTCGCGTGCTTCATTGTAAGATTGTAAAGTCGCGGCAGTTGGAGATCATGCGGCAAAGAATACGTGGCCATCCGTCCCCCGCGCACAAACAGGTGCATGTCCTCGTGGAGCAGCTGCAACGTATGCGGGGATGCCGGCAATGCAACGTCCGCAAACGCCCGCATCGCCTCTGCGCGGTGAAGAGGGGGGGGGGAAGCGATAGTGCACTGTGCTGCCGTCTGTCGCCGCCACCAACGCAGGCTCCTCTTGCCTGGCAACAGACAGCGCGTCAATCGTTCAGTTTCAGCTTCGGATGGCCACGTTGCAGTTGCTGCTCTCCTCCCGCAGCGTCAGCACCAAGGTGCGTGTTGGCGAACAGACACCACATGCTGCTCTGTTCCAGCGTTTGCGTGCAGCATAGATCGTCACGCATGCACGCATGCACGCATCGAACACGATGTGTATGAGCGCGAGAGAGCTGCTGAGTTGAGTTGGCTGTGGATGGTGGTGTCATTACAAAAGCACTCGCGCTGCAAGAGAGTACTGAGAGTAATGGTCGCAGGAAGGTGCACGCACAGTGAACGTGAGATGGCTGCACTGCACAGTACAGTTGCGTGCACACATGTCTGAAAGAAAGCATGGCGACAAGAGAAAGGGTAACCAAACATGCTGCATGTCGATCTCACAAGACATGGTGGTTGCATCCACTGCCAAGCCAGTGCAGCGCGAAGAAAGGTTGCCATCCATGATGATGACGATGAAGGAAAGGGAAGTGAGCTGTGGCCATGTGCACGGAGTGCAGAAAAGAGGTGTCGTGACACTGCGCAAGTTGCCTTCACGGTTGTTGCTGCTATTCTGCTGTCAGCATGCGTCCTTGTTTGTACCACTGCCAGTGGTTATCGTCGTTCGGAAGGAAACGATGAGGTGGAAGAAGGTAGCAGCTGCAGCACACATTCGGAAGCACGCCGTCGTTGGCTGTCTGTGCGGGTGATGGCGGCCATGATGATGGGAGTAGCAGGAACTGACGCGGTGTGCAGTGTGGAAGCGACAGTGCTGTCTGTCCAAACCAAGCCAACGTGCGCGACAGCACAAAGCACACCAAACAAACCCCACTTCATGTTTTCTATTCTGCAGTCTGGCCAACTTGCGTGTGTTGCCAAAAGTGCCAGGGGTTTCCTTCTCTTGCAAAGCAAATCATCGCAGGGCAATTAAATTATTGCAAGTGAGGAAGGAGAGTGTTTGCGCAGAAGGAAACACAGCCAGCTCAAACTGGGAATCCTTTCCTTCCCTGGTGTATTGTTTTGTTTTTCTCTTGTGTGTTGTTGTGCTTTTTCTTTCTTCCACCTTCCTTGCTTCCATTCCCTGTCCTTCCTTTGGTGTCAACATGCGACCTCCTCCTTCTCCTCTCCCAGCTGCTGCTGCTGCTGCTGCTGTTGCTGTTCGCCCTCATCATCGCTGGGCGCTGTGCTTGCAGTTGCCACTGTTGTTCTTGTTGTTCTTGGCAGGCTTGTCGGTGGCTCGTGTCCACGGCAGCGGCTGCTTGAAGGATGCTGTGAGTGAGTGTGTGTGTGTGTGTGTGTGTGTGTGTGTGGGTGTGTGTGTGTGTGTGTGTGTGTGTGGGTGTGTGTGTGGGTGTGTGGGTGTGTGTGTGCTTTTTATGTTCTCGATTGGGTCCGGTTGTGGTGTTCTTGTTGTCCTTGTGTTTTGCTTCTTTGCCACAACGTGCCTTCTGCTCTGTTCATGGTTGCACTTGCAGCTGCCACTGACCCACACCTCCACACCACCACATCTCCACACCTCTCCACGTCCGTTTCACAACACCAAGGACCGCACGCTGTCCCCCTCCGTGGACACAACATTGAAGCAACTGGACACCACGCTCAAAGAGCATCGCGTGCCGTTTACCACTGGACAGTTGCGTCCACGGAAGCACTCCTTTCATCATGATTGATCTGCCATCGATCC